GATGTACCTTACACTTTATAAAAAATACCATCTATTATCATATTTATGACATTTTCTTATTTTCTTTTTTCTCTCTTCCTCAGTTTTCTTTGACATCTAACACGTAAATATTTAGTCAGTACAGCATAGAGATTATAATTTCAAAGAAAAACACTTTGAAAATAGACAAAATGTGTTTTCAAATGACATTTCATTAATTAATCAATCATCCTAAATAGTTTGTGTTTGTATTGTGGCAAGAATACTGTTGATTAAATTACTAAAATGTCACATGACAATTCAGGACTGGAGCACCTCAAATACCTGCAGTATCAAGTTTGATACACATTTTTAACACAGTTTAAGTGTACTATTAAAATATTTTAAGTAATTATGCATTGTTTCAACACAGGAAGTATTTATTTAAAAAATTACAAACAATATTGATGTTATTGTTACCATAACTTCTACAAAATTAGCAAAAGTTTTCCTGAAAAAAATGTGTAGATGACCTCATGTCAGCAGACATTTGGAAAAGGCAAAAAATGAAGTTCCACTTCCTGCAGTACATTGATGATCCACCAGAGGGCAGAATACAGGTCTCACATTATAAAACAACAGGTTTTTGAGGAAAATATTGATCACATTGATTAAATACAGGTCACAGAATCCTGTGTAGCAAATATGATACAAATGGTGATTTATTAAATGCAGATTCCTGGAGTTCAAACCTTGTCAAGATATTTTATTTATATATATATTTTAACAAACTGAAGAAATTTATAGTTATTACAGGTTAATACTGATGTTAAAAACACAACAATATATATTTTAGGTTTTCCTGTTTATAATGTTGACAATGTTTAATCTATTATGTTTTGATTGATATACACGCTGTATATTGATTAGTTACATGTCCGAAGATTATAACAACACATAATGAACCGTTATAATAACAGTAGGGGAGAATTTTGTCTGAATGCCTATGATTCAGCCGTAGGTCAGTAGGGGGCGAACGTGGGCATTGAAGACCCTGTATAAATGGATCAACTTCCTGGTTTTTGGGCAGTGTGGTTTCCTGTCAGCTCTGGTGACATTAAACCTCACTCAGTTCCAGAGTTGTGGTGTTGTATGGTTTTATCCCTTCTACAAATCATTTTATTTAACAGTGGTGGTTTTCATATTGACTTCAGTCTTTGAACACGCATTTTCTTACAAAACTATAGCAAAATGCTGCCACAGTTTATTTAAATATTAAACCAAATGTTAGATGCATACATTTCTAAAGTTTTCACCTCTAGGTCTAATTTAATTAAACTTTCACTCAGGCTTTTGCTAAAACAACAGGTTTCTTTTATTTTCCCTCAGCTGAATGTTTAGTGAGCTGATGGTGTGGCTGAGTAGAACTGAACCAGCTCAGATATATAT